ATAAGTCAGTTGGGTTTGATTTTGTCTTTTATATGGGCCAAATATTAAAATTGTAGAAGGATAATAATTAATAAATAAAATTAATAGTAAAATAAAAGAAGTGTTGAATTGTTAATTCACAATTGTAGACAAATTGGTCTGGTGAGTAGTGTTTAATATATTTTTGGGAATTTGGTAATCGAGCTACCCGACCTCGAGTCGTTCTCAAAGGAATGCTATTCGGAGCGTAATTCGCTAATTTAACTGTCCGAAACACACAGAAAAGTAAAGTAAATTCCTAGACACTCTAATCCGTGGGTTGATGATTGTAATTCTAATTTAACTACTATAAAAGTAATTACTAAATTAAGTGAGCGATTAGAAATAAAACATTAACTCCCTAAACCGGGTCGTTAAGAATTTTTAAAACGATTCACATACTAATGAACCAAACTCATTCATGAACCTCAGTGCCAAAGCAAATATCATCCTACGGAATAATCGAACTTAATACTCAAAGTCTCGACTTTCCTAGTAACAATTTAACTTCAACAATATTCACATTAGCAAATTTACGATAAACGCTTAAACATAAACAAATCAACACAAACAAGCCATTATCTAACAAGCCAAATTTGACGTCTACAACCGAGATAGTAAAATAAGTGAACAATCGGAATAATAAGTCTTACACAAGATTCTTACGTTCCTAGTACGAGCTTGAGCAAAATAACAGCAACAATCGAAAACTTACAATCCACACAAAATGCCGAAAAATCACACGAACACACCTAAAATGAAACGTCAAACCAATTCGCCGGAATAACGTCGTCGGAGAATTATACAAAACACACTTACAATCCAAAATAAAAGAAAGAGAAGAAAGGTGAACAATAAGAAAGAGTTTTTGTTGCAGAGTGCAGAAGAAGAAGAAAACTGTAGAAAAATCAAAAAAATCCGAATGCTTTACAATCCAGTAGAGCAATGAATTTATACAGCGGACCAAATCTTTCAAGTGGAGCACAAAAGCCAAACCATATTATGCACTTGGCACGACGCGAATTAAGTGCTGACGGCTCGAATTAACTGCTGACGGCGCGAATTAACTGCGAATTAACTACTGACGGCTCGAGGCAGAAACTCTTGACGGCGAGAATTAACTGCAAATTAACTACTGACGGCGAGAACGCACAGGGCGTCGCGGCGCGAGAATCCGCCGCGTCGCGGAAGAGGATGGTTTCTTTCAGCTCACCACGGCGTTACTGAGTGGTCCGTCGCGGCGCGAGGAGATCCCACGGCGAGAGATGTCACAGCGCGAGCAGCATCCCTCACGGCGCGGGGCACGGCGCGAAGCACCTTCCTGTCGCGGCGCGAGGCTCTTCACGGCGCGGAGAGGGAATGAGTGATCTCTGAAGCTCCTCGCGGTCCCATTCACGGCGTGACGATGGCGTGAAGCTTGTGTCCTTGGCCCATGAACGCATCACATTCCATTTTAAGTTCGTACAACTTCGTTTGTACTCGAAATCGAGTTTCGACTTTTCCATCACGTAACCAACTGCCTTCTTTATCCAATAGTTATTCACCAACCCAAAATATTTTTCGAACAACTCCTCGTCGGATCCTCAGACCTACACACCAATAATTAAAACAATGCGGCAAATAGGAGAAAAATACCGAAAAACACACAAAAGGCTCGAACTAAACTAAAAACACACAATAAAACACAAAACACACATCAATACTAAAAGTAATGACATAAAACGGGGAAAAAGAACGACGAAAATATAAGAAAATCGACACAAAAATAGGACAAACAACTCCCCCACACTAAAACCTTTGTTCGTCCCGAACAAAAAGAAAATAAAAGAACAGAAACGAAAACAAGTAACTGAGCATGAATAAATAGTTTCAATCAAGACAAGTATCCAATTAATCAATTTAGTCGAGAAAACTTCCGATGACCAATAAGCATACCTCAGTTACACTCAAACGGTACGCTTTGAAAAGACAACTCTCAATCACG